GTAAGTTTAGGACAGATTTGCTGCTCTACGGTCATGGTCTGAAAGTCTTTTAGGAGCTGCACTCCAGAGATTTTAAGTGCCAGGAGGGACCTCCAGGACCCTGTGGTGAAACAAGCCTTTTTCATATAGTCAACTTCTGTTGGATTCTGGCCAAACTCTTGTGTTTGTAGCTATCATGGGACTTTAATGCTTCTGATCAAAATGGCTGAGCTGATTTCTGTTGCTCTGTGTTGTTAATGTTTTAAACAGAAATGGGTATCTTCACTCTGGTTCACAGACCTCTCCTTTCTTCAGCATCACATGTAGGTTTGCAGAAAGGCGGGATTTAAGTTTTGAAAGATTGCAGTGCTCTGCTTTGCACATACGCTTGCGCTTTGGAAATACCTTGTTTACCCCAAAAGAGAGGTGCTCCTGGTGCAGACACGCTGCTGAGCAAGGAGTAGCTAGTTACTGATGTGAATTCAAACCCCAAGAAAGCTGAGACAGAGCAGGAGAAAATGTAGTGACACAGTCTTTCCATTTTCTTGACATGGAAAAGGGCTGGCTCACTGTGGAAAGGAAAGCTTTACCCATCACACTGCACTGCAGAGGAGCAGCAGGGTCCCGGTGTCCAAAGGTGTTGATTAGCCTGCTGCTGATTTCTAGGCAAACTTTGTCATCTGCTCTTTATAGAAAATAAGTCAGTTGTTTTTAACATGTATTAACATAACAGTCAGTAGACTACTTAGAAATTGGAGCCCTTTGTGTGGGGAAGTTGGACATGTGGAATGAAAGATTCTCTGCTCTGGGCAACTTTACGAACAGAGAATGAAGACGACACACCAAAGAAAAGGAGAGCCACTTTGCAGAGAGGTAGAAAAAAGCAAGAGTTTTGTTCCACCTGCCTCCTTGTGATTATTTAGGCTGAGAGGTGCTTCATTTATTGTAGAAGTAAGTTTATGCCAAGGAAGAGTGTCTTCAACTAAGAAGAATCAGGATATGATTTCAGCATTTCTTTGCAAATATACCATATCTCAGAAGCTAGTTCTTTTCTTGGTGTCATATTAGAGAGCTTTCCTTTGCTATTTGGAGTGGAGCAAGGATTTAGGAGCAGGTCTTTAGATTAGGAATACTGTGGAAGGGAAACTACAGCCCAAATTTAAATGGAGAAACAGTGGACAAGGATGGAAAGAAAATGGTCCTGGGCACCCAGAGGAAGAATGATCTCAGGATGGTGACAACAAGGTGGATGGGCTCATCTCCAGAGTCTGGGAACATGCAGGAACAACTGGAACTCTGTGTATGGTCATAAAACAGTAATACTGCTGGGACAACTGAGATGTGGAGAGACATCTCTCACTACCTGGATGCTCTGATGCATAGTTACAAGCTTTTCAGGGGGAGTAGACAATGAAGAAAATATGGGCTGCTCTCTATGTGAAGAAGCCACTTTGATGTGAAGGGCTCCTCTATGGAACGGATGAATGCAGCTGGAGAGCTTGTAGGTCAGGTTCAGTGAAGAACTCTCCAGTGAGAGTGAGGCTGTGGTGGTAGTGCATTCTTCAAACACAGTGGATATGGGGAAGGGACTTTCTTAAAACAACTCAGGGAAGCCTCTGTATCACAGATCCTGGTTGTCACAGGAAACTTGGTCTGCTGAAAAGGCAACACAGTGTAATGCAAGCAGTCAAAGATCTCTGAAGGATGTCAGCAATAACTTCTCGATAAAAGTACAGGACAGGTGAATCAGAGGTGATGCACAACTGGCTCTGTTATTCACTAGCAAGGAAGAACTGTTTGGTAACATGATAATCAATGGCAGCCTCAGTGTAAGTTATAATGAAAAGTGGGAGTTCAAGATCATGGAGGGAGTGAGGAAATTCAAACAGCAGAGTGTAGACCTCGGTCTTCATGTGAACAGACTTCAATTTTTTTGGGGAACTAGTAGCTGGGATCCCACTGGAGGAAGCCCTGAAAGATAAAGTGGCACAAGAAAACTTCAAGGGCTTAAAGAACAGAGGCCTCAAAGTGCAAGAAAAGTCCCTTCTATTACTCAGAGAAATAAGCAAACACATCTGGACACAAGCATGGCTAAGCTGGGAGCTCATGGAGAAGCTCCAGTGAAGAAAAAGTGGTATGCAGGAAGCAGAGACAGGCTGCAAAATGAAATGCGTGGGCATAAGTGTTGGTGTTAGGAATGTTAAAGCTCAGGAGCTGAGACTGGAGAGGTTGTCAAGAGGAACAGGAAGAGTTTCTACCACTACACAAACAGCAAAAAGCTGGACAAGCGAAACATAGGCTTGCTGCTGAAAGGAAAGGATGATTTAGTGGCAGTGGAGAGAGACAGAGTGAAGACAGTGTTTACAGTTTTTGCCATCAAGGTCTCCTGTGTCTCTGTACTTAGTTACATGGTTAAAGGAATGGGAAAACAACCAGCAGGGGATGAGGATGGAGTCAAGGATTGACTGTGAGATTTGAACCTGCCCAAGTCCATGGGATAATACAGGTGTCACCAAGAGTCCTAAGGGTATATTTGCAAGGCCATGGAGTTGGGTAAGATCCCTGACTACTGGAGAAAGACAGATGTTGTACCCATCTTCAAGAAAGTCCAAAAGGACGATCCAGAGAACTACAGCTCTTTCTGACTCTGTTCCCTGGATAAATCAGGAAGCAAGCCCTAGGGGAACATTTCTGGACACTTGAGGGAGAAGGAGGTGACTGGGAGCAGCCAGCCTCCATTTATCAAGGTTAAATCATGTCTGACCAACATGATTGCCTTCTGTAATAAAATGTCAATATTTGCAGATAAGAAGAGAGCAGTAGATGTCATTTATATCAACTTCAGAAAGGCTTTTGACACAGTCTTCCACTTCCAGAGGTCCTTTACACCCTCAACTATCTTGTGATCCCACGAAAAAAGAGATTCGGTAGCACAGGGACTGTTGAGGTTTAGAGCATGGAGCCTGAGTGCACCCCAGTGTGTGAAGGTTCAGTTTTCTTCTGGGCTGTAACAGGGAAGCATCAGATGACAGTAGCCAGAAGACTGTTTTAGATGTCTCTCATCTGAATACCTGAAGCCAATCTCCAGGGTGTTACGAAACATCCATGTGCAAGGATTATTCTTTTGCAGCATTTCACAATACAAAATTTGGCTAATGAACAGATGAAAGAAACAGACTGTGTTTGACCTACATGACAGCTTTGAGAGGTGCATTTCTAATACATTTGATATGCTCTAATTATCTGGGCATTAGGAAAAAACTTTCAACAATACAAGCTGTCAACAAGGCATACTTCTGAGTAGGTTATCACCATCCTTGACTGAGATCCAAAAAGAGTGAAAAGATGTGAGGGGTCCTGATAGCTGAGCCAATATTCACATGGAGAATGGGGACTTGATGCAACAGAGCAACTTGATGCAACTACTGCCCCTCATCTTTTCCTGATAGGTGTTCACATAGCTATGCTGTGATAAGTAGAAATTAATCTCATTACAGCACCAGAATCTGCAACGTGACACAACTATTCATAGATTTCTTGGTAAAAAACTTGCCTTCCATGGTAGGGGATTGTACCAGTAGAAACTGGTCTGGTTAAGGCTAGTGGACTGGGCATAGGGCAAGTGCATTTCTTTTCTCATTCCAAATTACTTTTGTTATGTATTACACAAACAAAAATTATGTGAAGACTGGGCCAAGATGCCTTGTGTCTCCTCCCTGCACACAAAGTTTCTCTTGAAATTGTATCTGCCTCTGTGGAGTCCTTGGTGTATGTTCAGAGAGAATTTTTGTTAGTTTTTTGGAAGCTCCTGAATGACTCAGAGCCTATAGTCCTGCTGACTGTTAATAAGAGGCTTTCAGAAACTCTTGCCTATAGGCATTGTTGCCCATACTGTTGCATAGTCAACCTCCTCCCCCAGAGTTAGGTCTGGGGTTTTAATCTCTGAATTAAATGCTCTTTTGTGTTCTATATAACTTATGAGGGGCTTTAATTACACAATGGTGAGGTGCACCTTGCATCAGCATCTAGATATATTGTTGAATGTTTTGTTTATTTCTACTGTCTGGAATGTGTATTTTAGTCATGATTTGTACACAAAGATAGACCTTAGCTGAGGAGATGATAATTAAACAGGTTCTGAGTTTTCCTATGGTATTCATACCTCTTTATTTTGTAAATCAGCACAGGTTTATTGTCTCTACTCTGTTATGAGGTTAGGGAAAAATGTTTTCTCCAGTTCACCGTTGAGAAACTGAGGCTCCATGAGATTAAGGTAAAGGGATGCTCCTATGAAAACAGAGGATGTTATAATGCCTGTCTGGCCCACATTCTCAAAATGCAGTAGGGAACTATGCAATGGTTCCCTACTATCTAATGCAAACTATCTATGCAATAGTTTTCAGTACATGTTAAGAATGCTCCAGAGATATATTTGAATTGTGACTGTAGTGTTCTGAGTTGCTTTTCCCATAAAAAGAAGAGAAGGGGAGCGGAGCAGGTAGGAAGGAGAAAGACATACATAACAGCAAGGAGGGCACTTGATGCTGGACAAGACAGATAAATTTTCTCCAGCCAGCAGCACTGGGATCTTCAAAAGCTCTCTGTGAACACAGCTTCATCCAAAGTCCTGTTGAAGGGACTTTATGGACAGACTCGATGAATCCAGAGCTAGGGCTGAGTACTATGTTAGGGCTGAGTACTATTCCAGTATCCCACTCGTGCCCGTGCACTGGAGGGGTTGGCTTTGTGCTTTATCTACCCAAACCTCCATGTTGCATGTCGGTTCTGTGTCCCCTCGATTCTTGCAATTACCATCGTATCTGGCATTTCCAGAGCCTTTCTGTATCCCTCACGTAAACTCTTTTCATACACACAAACACTAAAGCCCAGACAGAGATTTAGTCCTGACATTGCTGAAATACAAAACTATAGTAAAAAAAAAGAGTCAGTCCTCAAGTAGGCTTTGAACAACTCTTGAGAAGCATCATATGTTGTGCACAGAACAGAGGAAATCAACTTACCTATTAGTGGAACTGAGTCAGAAGTTGCAGGCATGATCTCAGCCACAAGCAACATGAAAACAGTCAGGGAAAGCAGGACAGTGATACCTTCAGGGAGTGAACATGGAGGGAAAGGATGAGAAACGTGAACTCTGCAGCTGCTCCTCTGATGTCTTTGCTGTTAAATATAACCTTGTCCTGATCTGCAGCTAAGCCAAACCCATGACTTCACATCTGTCAGTGAAGATAAGAACTTCCACAAAGTGAGAGCATTTTTGGATGCAACTTTATCTGCTGTCGTTTCACTTTTCTTAATTACACCAAACCCTTTGCTTCTCTTTAAGTATGAAAGAAATCTTCCCTGCCAAGTGAAATGAAGCTTGTAGAACTGGTAAACTACATTGCTTTTCCAAAGCATAGTACAAACAAAGCCCAGATGGTTATTAAAGGCTAAGAGAGATTTGCACAGACGTGAGTCCAGGTTTTGGATATTGTATATTATATAACACTTTCCAAAGAGCTGTAGTCTATTTTAAAAGAAGCTTTTTGTTTGTTCTATCTAGAAAGATGGTTGCTAAACCTAACTGCCACAGTACTGAGAAATCACAAGGTCAGTGCAAGAACATTATCTCCTATTTTTTTGTCAGCACTGTACGTCAGCTCAAATAACACTTTTCCTTGTCTCCATCTTAAGTTTCATAGACAGCAATAATATCCTCCATAACCTGTGTTTTACTTCTTGTAAGACAGGCTGCTCAGATCCCTCATTGTACTACTAACACTGAGGGCATTTCATATGATTTAAAGTTCTCTGTCCTGAAATGAATTGTGCACAAACAGCTCTTAGGGTCTCGCCTGGGCCAGTCTTGTGTATTTACGTATCTCCCCATCTTCTCTTGGAAGTACCCCTCCTGTCTTTATCAACACACACAACAGTAAGATTCATTTAGCCCTTCTTTGGCTGTCACTGCTGTGCTTTCATGGAGGCCCATGGCTTGGTGGTTTGGGAGCTGAACTTGGAAGGTGAAAACCAAATGTCTGGCTGCTGCTGCTCACATCCCTTCACTCTCTGTGTCTTAGTATGTCCTATCTCAAAAAGAGTTAATCAGCTGTGAAATGCATTGAAACATGCTAAAGACAGAATAACAGGAATGAAAGAGCACTATCACTGCTGTCTGTGCCAGTGACAAATTCTGCCTCCTCCCAGGGTAAAATCCAAAAGATTTTACAAGTGTTTAGCACAGGTTGTGTGATCACCATACAGAAAGCTGTTTCCCTGGTTTCTGCAACCATACAAGTGCTTCTATTGCTCCTTCAGGGAAACCTTTATTCACCAAGCACCATGAGGTTATTAGTTTTCCATTTTATGGGAATTACTTATGAAAGAAATGAATCCTTTAGCACTTACCTAAAGAAATCTTCTCCCCTGAATCAGCTGGCAGAAGGAAAACAAGCAGTGCCAAGCCAGATATGAGAACACAGGGAATGAGTAGGTTCAAGCCATAGTAGAGCGTGCGTCGGCGCATGGTGATGGTGTATGTCACGTCTGGATATGGTTCCTTACAGCATTCATAGTACATCTCATTCCTCTTGCCTGGAACACCTACAGGGAAGGAGATCAGGGTAGGAAGAGAAGCATGATTCCCAGGTATCTCCTTAAAACAGGCCAAGAACTGATGGTTTATGAGCCAATGTGCAGCACCTCCCCACACATTGTGGTGCTTTGAAGAGCACTGAAGAGTGTTTTTAAGTGTCCTGTAGCAATCGATAAGAGAGAAAAGACACCCCCAAATCAGTTACCAGGCAGAAGTAATGTTTCTAAAACTTGCAGCCAATGATGCACACATGGATTAACAGATTAAAGAGGACAAAAGGCAATGTACCTCACTCACTATAAAGGAGCGCTGGAAAGTCAGGAGTGTTTTAAAATGGATAGACTTTAGTGAAACTTCCCTACAGAGTCCTTCATCTTCTATGAAACTGAATACTGATTATGTTCCTTATTGCATTTATTTCTCAGATAATCTGAAAGGTAGAACTACTGCATGCAGTTAGTCAGTGACAGTTACATCCTTGTCTGCATATCCAGATCTGAAGATAACATGCATCTTCTGCAAGCTTCTCTTAAGGTGACCTAAGTTCTATCAATATCCATTGATATCCATTGATACTGCTTCTGACTTGCAGCTACACAAAAGAGTTTGAAATAACTCACTAGGAGCTCACACTGAATAACTAGTTCTGGGCATAGATTTATTTTTTAAAAATATAATATTCTTTAATTGAATATATAATAATTAAAAATATTCCCTAAAGCACAGAAAGGAAGAGAGGCATACAAAACTGCAGTTATTTGCAGTTATTATAAACTGGTAGACACTTTGATGGTTTTCTGGGTGACAGTGATCCATCTCTCAAAATGTTTACTCCAGTTTTGCTAAAATTGTGGCATTAACGCCAATCAATTTTTGGCTGACATGTTAGAGTAGATGTGACAGTAGTGTTCCTTGCATCTACATGAGACACATCCGAGTTTAGTACAGACAAACTGTTCAGATGCATCAGGACCAGCAGTTTTCATTACATACTCAGTTGCATGCAATTGCTTCAGAGCATAGCCTTTTCAGGCACAGTTCAATAAATGCAGCTGAAAGTATGTCTCTGATTTTGCTTATGTTCTCTTTTTTTTTTTTTATATCTGTATTTCATCTCCCAGTGGGATTGATCATTTCTATATATTTGGGTGTTGCCTTTGAAAATTAGACTACTAAAAATTTTTAGGCCAGACGACTTACCCACTAAATCCCATTCTCCATTTGAGATGTAGTTGGAAATATCTGCCTCGAGCATCTGCAGGTCAATCAACCAGCCACTGTGAGTCCAGGAGCCAAACTTCAGATCACACTTCTGCACATCAAAGGGGAACCAGCGGACGTCAATGTAACATGTGCTCTTCAAAATGCCTGTGAATAGAAATCAGGCAGAAGCAAGCATGTGCAGGGTGTAATTCATTTCTACCCTTATCTGAATGATTGGCTGTGAGCAACTTTGTTCTCCAAACATCTGTGTGATGTAGTCATGAGGTAACCAAACAACTAGTGCAGGCAGAAGATGCTGCCAGGGGTGGAATAACCTCTTTTCCTAGGGTATCCATGAAGATCCCTCTGTCTTTCACTGCATTCTTGAGCTGGGTTGCTGAGGACCCTCTTGTCACTCAGGATCAGCCCAGCCTGCCTTCCAGTGCTGGTTGTCCCAAGCCGATCATAGGCAGCGCTGCAGGGCCTGACAGGAGTCTAAACTACACAGATGTCCACTACACACTGTGGCTGCAAGTTCTATGACAAGTTCTTCAAAAGGAGGTCTGTGTTAGACCCTGAATTAGACCCACAGTCCCTTGAAAATACATGTTATGCTAAACCTTACTCAGTGCTGGCCTTTGTCTTCTGTACGTTAACCCTGAATTTTACTCTGGATGTGCCTAGTCCACTGTCATTTCATGTAACATTTTAAGCAATTTAGGAGATGAACACTTGTTTATTATTGCAAGCTAATCTTTATTTCCTTTTTTTTTTTTATTCAGCTGAGAGAACTAAAATAAACCCCAGTTGATGCTCCAACCTTTATCCTTGGGACCACAGCTGTGGCTGTGGGATTTTCCCAGTCATCCAGCAGCATGGAGGGCTTGGAGAGTGGGGAGATGATCTGCACAGTCTGCATCACTGGCAGCTGGTGGCAAAGCACAGATGTCATGCCTGCAAACCCTCAACCTTGTGGGCCTTCACCTTACCTCACCAGTTCACTGCATGCTGGCCAGTTCAGAGACACTGTGTGAAGGAGAGGCAGCTTCTGCTTCATTGAAAAATTATCACCAACACTGCACTTAGCCTTCATATTTGCAGTTATTGTGTCTGTGTGCTCCCTAAAACGCCAACTAATGTGAATCCCAGCTCCGAGTCATCTAACTGATCAGATTTTGGTGTTTTACAGTAAGTTCTTGAGCTGTGCCTTCTGAAGATAAAACCCCAAAACCAGAGATCCTTGAATACTGACTTTGCCTTCTGCTGCAAAAGCACAGGACACCGTGGCACAACCATGTGTGCAAGATCATACTCCTGCTCTGGGACGGCTGGGTTCCCTTCAGTTTGTCTCTTCGCATTCCGAGAGGTCTGACTCCCACCATCATGGCCATTTTTGGATGGGCTACATGGAGGCTTTGATCACAATTTCTCCTGAATCTTGGCTCTGCTCTTTTCCTTAACAGCAGACAGCTGTTCCCTTCTTGTCCTTTCTCTCTCTTCCTCCACCTATCTTTTTTCTTCAATCGAGAACAACATGAGTACAGCCTGCTCTGAGAGTCATGGGAAATAAAATTTTCATGAAGCTTTGGAAACACCATCTTTTCCACTCTTCCATGTTTTCCGGTGTCTTGATTAACCTAGCTGCTTCTGTGAGCCCTTGTTGCCAGTTAGCAGGCTGATTATCAACTTTTTCCTTCCAAAATTTTGCAGATTTTTGGCAGCAGTTAAATCACTGTAACAAAGGATTTCCTGTATTTTATACAACAGATTTCCTTTATTACTTCTTCTCTCTTTACTTTCCTTTGGTTGTTAAGTAACGAATTCTTCACCATGGAGTTTGTAGCTCACCAAGAGATGAGCATGATATCAGATCTGCCTACATAGGCACCCTCTACATCGCCTCCCTACCTAGAGGGATGGAGAAGTCTCTACTCTAGTACATGTCAGTTTCATTCCTGTGGCCACATGCCTTTCCACTCTCAAGAAATTGCTAACTGAATTGCACATGAAACATGATGTGAGAGTGCACGCTACCTTGCTTTAGACACCACCTCATGTGGGCCTCTGAATGGTCTAAGCAAACTGCTCAGGAAAGTGATCGATTGATTTGTGAAGTGGAAATACACCACTAATAATGTATGTAAATTATATCAGCGAGTTTGCCCCATAATTACAGAGCTTGCAGAATTTCTACAGGCTGCTTCTAAACACATTAGCTTTATTCATGAAGGAAAACTGCTTGCATTTATTTGACTTAAAGCAAACAAATGCTTTCTGTGTCTTACCTACCTGGGGGAATATATTGGCAGGATCCAGAGTAATTCACCAGCACATTTGTATGAAATGTCGCATCAAATCTTTCATCCGCACTGTAACAGAGTATAAACAAACCAAACAAAAATCAAGCTGATGTTTGAGTTAAGATGCAGTAACTGTCAATATAAAAACAACATTTTGGCTGAATTTAATGCACAGACTGTCTGAATTAAAGTCCTATGCCTGTGTGAATTGTTCACCCTCAGTCAATATCCCAGCTTCTCGTAGACACTGTTGGCCTGCTCTCAGGCATGATGGTAGCATGCTGCAATGTCCTCAGAGAAGTGAGAGGCAAAGCTGTTTGATGTCTCGGAGGAAAGGCAAAAGTGAAAGGAGCAAAAGTGTCACAGTAGCTGTATCCTAAGACTGAAAAGCCAGGATGATAATGCTTTTCGGGGGCTACTGTCAGAATCAGGCAGCTACTGTGCAAATCAAGTTATCTGTTATACAGATACCTATTGCAAGAGTAATGGTGGCCTGAGACAACAATTCTGCAGTCTCTCAGGATGCAGAGAAGCCACGGGTTTGCTTCAAGCAATGGAGGAAGGCACTGGGGCTTGTAGGAAGAGATTAATTGAGACTCTAAGAGGAGAAGCTAGGACAAAGAGACCAAGAAAAGATAATTTCTTTACAGTTCCAGCAATTCTGAGTAAAACAGAGGAGTAACGAGCCAGGCAAAGACAAGAATTCTTTAAGGGAGCAGGCCTGGAGGCTTGCTACAGAGGATCTCTTGAGAAGAGTTTAACTAAAGAGGGCTCCCCTTCAGGCTGATAGTGTAGAGCCTTGCCTGTCATGGCTGTTGCATGACACAGCCTGCATCTTACACACTCTATCTCACTACTAGCTGTGGAAAACTCAGACCCTCTGTTCCTCCTGTGACCTGCTCTTTATTCCTGTTTGGGTCCTCAGTTCTCAGTATTGTCCCCAGCACAAAACAAAGTGGATAAAATTGAAAAGACTAAGTGCAGAATGAGTAATAACTATGAAAAGACATTAAAAGGAAGCAAGAAAGTTATTTATAAATGTGAGGAAATGAGGAAAAAACAAAGGACCACATAGATCCTTTACTTGTTGTGGGAGGAAAGGAAACAAGAGTGTGCAGAGAGCTGCAGTCTCCTTCACTCTCTGTGCTTCACTCTTCACAAGCTGTGGCTCACAATTAATCCTCACACAGTGGCAGGAGTCCAGGGCAGAATAGGGGAGGAACAGGCTAAAGAAATGCAGATAAGACAGATTCCAGTTGGCAGGGCTGATGAAATTTACTCTTGAGAACTGCAGGGACTGACCGAAATAATACCCTCTGAAGCATTAACAAGTATCTGTGAGAACTCGTGGAGAACAGGGAAGGGCTCAGTGAATGAGGGAAGATCAAAGAGAATTCTGATTATTTTTTTTAAAGGTGAAATTATAGACGTATCAATGTAACTTCAAAGATAATGAGGTGAAAAAAGCTGGCACAGATTTGCCAAAGGTCAACTGCACCAAATCAATCCATTTTTCTGACTGAGCAAGAGGAGACAGGTGATATATGTGAACTTCAGAGAACTTCTGCCACATCATCTCCTTCTAAACAAACTACAGTAATATGGACCAAGCTGTATGACTCCTTTATGGAGACTGAAAAGGAATAAAGAGACTGTGAAGAGTAAAGCCGAAGTAAAGAAGAACACTTAAGCAATCCAGGTCACTCTAAGCCTCCTTCGAATATCTTCTAATGAGCCTTGGAATGTAAAATTGATCTTGGTGAACTGGGGAAACAAACAGAAGGAAATTCAGCCTGGATGGTTAGAAAGATTTACCCTTGAAACTGCCAAAGAAGGGCAGATCAATGAAAATCTAGTAAGACAGCAAGGCTGAAGTACAGTGTCTGGAGTTCGTGATAGATCAAAAAATAAGTCCAAAACTAAGATGTTAGTCAAAGCAAAACCAAAATTACCTCTTCCTGGAAAGCATTAAGAAAACATCTGTCTAGAGAGCTTCCACTCTATTCAACACTGTAGAAGTGCTGGCTAAAGACCTGGATTCAGCTCAGGAAGAGGAAAAACAGATTATAGGGTGTTCAGAGGGGAATACGAATGATGGAGAGATTTATAAAATGTGAGTTATGAGGAAAAATGAATGAAAATCAGTTTGTTTAGTTCAGGCAGGCACACCATGTCAGATACCCAGTAATAATTTTCCATGAGACCCATGGTAATTATAAGAAGAAGATGTATTTTTTTCTCTCTGTGTTCACTGGGAAAAAGTAAAGAAGACATCTGCAAAGCTACAGCAAGGAAGACTTCTATTGGCTAGTAGAAAAATCTGTTAGCAGTGCTTGTTTGCTTTTATTGTTACTGTTTCTAGAGTAAGAGTCAAATCCCCAGATTGCAAGAGCCCAAAATTATCAGTGAAGCATGTCCAATTTTCACCATCAAATGGTCTAGTTCTAGGCTCTCACCAGCTGCTGCCCATCTTGCTTACCTGTTGTACAGAAGAATGTCTGGTACCCAAATCTGGTCGGCTGGAAATCTCAAGTTCTGCACCCCTGGGTATTCATACTGATCCCAAGACAAGTAAACATCAACCCAGTACTGTTGGCAAATACATACATCAGATTACATGAGCTGGTAAAAGTCTTCAAAGCTGTCTGGAACATTATGGGAACAGAATGGATTTTCTACTAGTAATAGCATTATTATGATAATAGTTTTATTCTTGGTTTTGATTATTATGAAATATTAGCATATACTGAGAAATCCACAGTGTGATGACTGAATACTGTGAGCTTTATTTTAATTTAGTGTCTAACCTCTCCACCTTGTGGCCTGAAGCCAGGCATCTCAAGCCTTTTCTAATGGGCTGGCAGAAACACTGGCAGTAGGCCTCTCCATGAGGCACAGTGGTTCTGAGCCGAGGTGGTTTGAGTGACTTTGGTAGCATCAGTGGTAAAGGGACCATAGTCTGAAAGTCCCTATTTGGTGGAAATAATTTAATCTGTTACAAAGGTTGGGCGACTCTTTTAATAACCCCCTTGCTACAACAGGTAGATGAGTGAACTTTATATCCTAAGGGGTTGTTTCTAATTCCCTATCCTACAACTCAACACAAACAGTTAATTCAAGAAAGGTGCTGGTACAGCTTTTGTGCTGAACCTTTTGATTTATGGCAAAGCTCTGTGGGAGGGCTGCAAGGGAAACAGTTACCAGTGCTATAACTGAAGAACACCGCTGCAACGGACAGGATATCCACAGGCTCTGTCCTAACAATCTGTAGCCCTATAAGTTGGTCTGGATTAGTTTTTGCAACAGCTGCAGGATGCCTGGCTCTTACTGGGCATCTGGCTCCTTCACAAGAAGTCCCTGTCATTGGCCTTGGAGAAGGCCTTGAGCCCCTTGAAGAAACTCTTTTTCAGCTATGGTGGGACATGATCTTGGGGGTCTTCGTTACTAAACACCTACATCCACTGGCCTAACAATGCTTACATGCTGCAAAGGTCAACAGGTCTGCTCAAAGGATTTATGACGTCTCAGTGCTAAAAGGAGCACTAGAGGAATTGCAAGATGCCTGCTTGTTTTACACTATAGACAAGTAAAAAATACAGCAATCTTGCTTTTCGGCTAAGAAATCACATTCAGTAGTTTGCTTTTAGAAAAGAGGTTCTTCCTTATTGGCACAGGTTACTCACCATCTGCAGCCAAGCATTTGTGATCAACACCTGATTCTTCTCATCCTTTAAATGAAAGGGGGAAGGAAAGAAAAGATAAAAAAAGGATGAGACTCAAAGTACAGTTTGATTACAGGTGGAGAGTTTCCGCTTCTTTTAGAAAACCCAAACTCTCAGGATAAATAGACGTAAACTTTATGGAGCAGACTAAGCTCAGTGCAAAACCACTGAATTGTATGGCCCAGAAAATAATGGCTCTTTTCTACCTTTAAACCTACAGACCTCCTGCGTTTATCAAAACTGATTAACAACAAAAGTGAAAATAATAGATAATTGCTCTTATTTTGCTGGAGACAATCAGACTGCTTACCAAAAGCACAGGCTTTTCCTTCTAGCTAGTTGGTCAAAACAAGATGACTTCCAGTACCACACAGCATGCAGTAGTTGGAGAGGTTTTATGCTGTATTTCCTGCACTGCAAAACAACAGTGAAATGGTGCTGGAACTGCTGTTCTTTTGGAGTGTCCACCTTATGTAGCTTAGCTCAGGCTGAAAGGGAAGGAAAGGCTAGCCTTGGGCAAAAGGATACAAATGCTGCTTTAGAGGGAGCTCACCTGGTGCCTGCACAAAGCAGGAGTTCATATACCTGTATGGAGAGGCCATGGGGAAGCAGCTCTGACTCACAAGAGAAGCTGTCACCCAGCTGGTCTCCAAGTGTTGTGGGGAGCCACAGGGTGCCCAGCTTGCTGCAGCTGGGCTGCAGGTGCAGCACCCTGCAGTGCTACTTCCAACAGCAGAGGTGGAGAAGCAAGGCTGCAGGGTTACCACAGGGTTACTGCAGGGTTACATTCCTCATCCACACCCCCATCCTGCACAGTTCTGATTACCAGCACAGGCACGCCCTGGGCTCCCCAAGATCTGAGGCTGGGATACTCAGTGGGGCTGGCCCACCATATGCCTAGCTGTCTCTTCACCATGGGGAGGTATTTCTTCCCTCTCAGACCACTGAATCGTAGAATCGCAGAATCAACTAGGTTGCAAAAGATCAAGTCCAACCATTACCCTAGCACTGCATCACCTGTACTTAACCCTTACCTCTCCAGCGGCACTGCAGCTTTGACTGAGGTGCATCCTGAAGCTTGGTTTTGGTGCTGTAGCTGGGGACAGCCACTCTCTGAGAAAACCACATTCTTGGCCAAGAAGCACAGCAGAAAGCAACAGTTTCCCCCTTTGATTCAGCTCAGGTCTCTTGGACACAAGTTGGAAGGAACAGCTATGGCCTGGCCCTGGTGACTCACTTATCCACAGCAAAGTGAAATTACCTTCAACATATTTTCTCACAGATTCCCACTCTGTGCTGCACTGACTAGACTTACCTGCCTATAGATAAGTTGAAACAAACTATGATTTGAGCCCCTGAAACATTAATTTTCTTTAAGTAGATGCAAAATTTTTGTTTGCTTTCTTCCCTTTCTTCCATAGCCATTGAGAAACACATAACTCATGCAGAGATTGGAGATTAGCTACATTACAAGGAAGATAAGGAGATCTCTGAAGGACAGAGATATGTTTTAGCATCAGACAAAGCTGCTATGAAACTGCAGCAAACCCAGAGAGCTGCAGCCCATCATTGCTGGACTGCAGTGATCAAACCTCAGGGTACAACACAGAACTGTGGGAATGTGGAAGCACCAACAGGATACAAACACTCATGGCAAGTAGAATGTACGAATAGACAACAGGGAGCTTCACCAGGATGCAAGATGATGTGTTGGCCTGGCAGATTTCTAGGGACAATCTCCACTGCCTATCCATGGGTCCCAGCTGAGGGTCTCTCTTGACCAAGTTAACTTCCCAGGCTCATGATGCCAATGTCCAGCTGCTCCAGATGGCCGAGCTACGTGTTCACATGTCTCTCTGTTCATGCCATGTGAAGTGTGTAAGATTGTTTTCAGTGTTTGAGGTGGGAAACGTTGCAATTGCAGACTGCTCTGGCAGGCATTTAAACCCTACAGAGTAACCTGGGCATGCATGCCCTCTCTGGTCATGTCCTTAATGTCGAAGATGAGTTAGTGTGTGCTTGCCATTGTCCTCCATGCCAAATGTCTATCTCACTGCCACCTTTCCTGCTGCACTTGAGTCCATGCCACTTCTACTCTTCATTGGCACTCAACGTCGACAAAGCTTGCTCTTCAGAACCACAAGGTAAACCACAGTCCTGAAGTAGGCTGGTTCACTCTGGACCTAAATTATGCTTTTTGCAGTACTTATTGGTTAACAAGGTAGCAATGCCAAAACTGCCTTACTCACTTTAGAAAAATGCTCATCTTAAGCAACATTCATGCTCTTTCCTCCTCTCCTCCCCTCCAGAGCTACCCTCATGGTACATATGTAAAAAAACTACTCCAGAAGTGCCATGAAAGATGTGAGCCATTTAAAAGTAAACTGCACCATCTCACTGAGCTGCAACACTTGGCACATGCTTTCTTCTATGAGGCCTCTGGGTTTTACTTCTTGTGTGTCCCACACCAGGGACTGCAGACTCCCAGGCTAATGCATGAAGCAGGACTGCCCGTGGAAGCTTCTTAATTACTGATTCCCCAGCTCAGAGAATACTTGACCACTGGTACTGTTGAGCCCTTAGCAGGAACCTTGTCTGTGTCAGGATCTCCTCTGTTCTCCCACTTGGGTTGTTGGAGCTGCAGAAGCATCACAAGCTGTAAAGGTAGGTATCATTGATCTGCAGAATTCCTGACTCTTTTGGCACTATGGACAGTTACCCTATGCAACCAGGGTCCTGTGCCTGGAAAAAACAAACTTCAGGCTTGAAACAGGCCTCTGCCATAGTCCTCCACATAAAACTGTCTATCACACTACCTCCTCCTCTGCTCCTCTTGTGTCCCCTTGAGACCTTCCTAAACTGCTTCTGCTGCTGGAAAATGCCACACAAAAATCAGCTGGGATTATACTGTTCATACATTTCCTTTTCATTTCTCTGCTGCTCCCCAAATTTTGGCAGCATATATCTGCCTGTCTTTGGGCAAACCATATCCTGTTTCTAGAGGCCTGTCCATCTGAAACTCCCTTTGTCCCCTTATTGGCAATTTGTCCTGGGTTCAGCAGGACATTCTGTGAATTCTGCAGAAAAATAAGAAAAAATAAATCACACACATAGGACTAAGCTTGCTAAAACATGATTTTTTAGATGCTAAAGGATTCAAAAGGATAAACACCAACTTGGAAAGGTATAAAACCCTAAAGTGAAAAAAACAAAACCCAAACCAACAAACCAGACCTGGTAATTGGTGGGGTTACCAGAGCTATATGTGTCAATTGACCTGGGAAATGATAGCAACCCAGCAAAAACAGAGGCTGTGTCCCAGTGATTCTCACAGGCCAGCCCCTCTCCTTCTGACTCATGTCTTCCTGACCACCAATGACTTCTAAGGTGTCTTCTGGGGATGGAGAGCATGATGCTTCTCTGAGTCACTTACTAAATCCTAGCCATATTTTGTATTGCTAGTCAACCAATAATTGCTTTATACTTGTAAGCTGCACATGTACTCCTTACAAAGTCTTTCTACATGCTGCTAAAGCCTGAAGACCATGACCAAAGAGGTGGACTGCAAGAGTTAGGCAATTTCTTTCCTGTGCAAAATAAAGGATTGTACACATCTACATTACACCCTTTAGGGAAGGGGAGGAGGCACCTTCCTCTTTTGTTGGCTACCTGACAGCCACAGGGGGATGCATTAAAGTGCAGTGTAGATCTGAGAGGTCTATGGGTTTCTTGCATGTGGAGATGCCTGTGGTTCTAGGTTTACAAGTAAACCCCCTTTTACCTGGCATGGCATAGTATTTTCATACTTGACAGGCTGCAAAAAAAGACATCTAGGGCTGACTTCCATATTTCACAAAACTTTGTTGCCCTTACCTACTCCCCTGTCACACCTCTGTGAGCTCTTTGCTCAAAGTCAGATGCTAATGACCTTGGTAATAAGCTTTGACTCCAAGCAATTCATCAGCCATGTATTTCAGGTAGCATTAAATTTCTTATCCTGGGTACACTTTGTATCTTTACACAGTGCTACTGTGCTCACCATGTTTGTTCCGCTTTTTAGATTTGTTTTGCAGTCAAAAGAAAGCTTGTCTATTAGAGTTCTCACAGGTCTAAATACAGCCCTGCACAGTCTTCCTTGACTTGCCTTTTGATAACACCAGTCAGCAAGAGCACAAAGTCTAACCAGGGCTTTGGGCTGCTTATGTCTCTGTCAGCTTGGTCGGGGGTGGGGGAAATGTCACTTCTGGATGTTTTCATGGCCATACAGAGTCTATTCTCAGCCTTGCTTTCAGGCTGCTGAGCTTTCCAAGGGTTTCTGGCTTTATGGACAGCAAAACACAGACAATGTTACTTCCATATTCAGCACTGATCAACAAATGCAGCCTGGTGGGTGCTTACTAGTGGTACAGAAAGTTTTACAAACAAGGATGTGTGTTTGACAGAAGTGCCTGGTTTGCTGGAGCAGCAAAACTCACTTTACACTGGCAGGCCTTTGTCCATGTGTATTTCTCTGTTAAAAAGATACTTACAGGAAACCATGAGAGTGTGTGTACTTACTCTGTCCCAAGAGGTCACTGGCCGGTACCAGTCTGCTGAAGTAAAAGCTAATTCTAAACAAAAACTTAGGAAGTGCTGGAGGTGGTTCTCTTACTGTGTGTCATTGGTTTGTGCAGAGGGATTTAAGGTTAGCTGTAAGGATGCCTTTCTTCCCAGGAGAAAACATGAATAATCCATCACACCCATCTTTCCTGTGAGAGGTTTGTGTCATACAGCAGTGTTAGCCTTGGGGATGACCTTCCCTCCATGTTTGGCAAGCTCTCAGCTCCTGGCTTTTCCCCCTAAGCAAAGCAACAAAACAGCCCTGCTAAGATCCCAAGTGAGGCTAGAGATGACTGGTCCCCAGAGGCACTTCTCCAGCACTCCCCTGGGAGTTCAGCTCAGTGGGCTGCCAGTGTTCAGCTTAGACAAATGAGTTTGCTTCTGGTATTCAAAAATGCTGGGAAAAG